GGTAATAGTAGTAGTAGCCTAATTCATAGTAATAATACATGGCTCAAAGCACCTTCTCAAAACAGTTCTGAAGCATGCTTTTTGTTTATGTTTGCTGACAGACACCAGCGTTTCCCACAGACTTGCAAATGCAAATTCATTCTCTGCCAGCAGGAGGCGCTGTTGGAGCGGAGACATAGCGGTTTCCCCGGTAACGGCTGTAATCAAATACAGAACGCTAGGAAAGACGAAATGAAAATGACATCAAAGCTTTTCTGAAGACGGTCGGTTCTTTTCAATTATACATTCATATAAAAACACCCGCGCTGCATTTTAATTTTGAAACGTGCAGTGCTCAGTTTATTCAACGAAGTAGAATCCTTTTGGAAAATCTATTTGTGGCGGTCAGTTTTGATTTTGTGACGGGCCGCCACAAATAACTTGACTGAAACACTGCACACTGCTATAAGTCAAATGGCCATAATCTAAGTGATAACAAAAATAAATTACTAATTATTAAAAATAAAATTACTCAAATTAGCGGTGAAATGTCGTCCGATTATGTCAAATGTCATAAACTCACTGGATGTCATGACAACAAATGTCATGAAGGAAAAGTTTCAATATCTCGCCTTCGCTTTCATTTCGGACCATCTCCAAAAAGACATTTAAAAACTAAACATATGATTTACAAGTTTAACATGCGTTTATCAAAGTAGGAAATAATTAGTGTTCTTGAAATACGAAATGGAGGCGGGTCCGGACTTTGAGAAGCACAGATTGATGTGGGAAAAAAAGTAATTTAAAGCAGTTTAACATAAGGCTTAAAGCATATACTGTATATACATGCATGTGTACAAAGCTGGGTAGTAACATAGTAACAAATTACATTTAATCTGGATTACATAATCCAATTCCAAAAATTAAGTACTTGTAATTAGATTAAATTACACTTTAAAATACTCGGAATAAGACTACAGTTACTTTTTTATTGATTACGTAATTACATATTGATTCTCTTCTTTTTCATCTTTTAAGTGTTCCTTTCTGAAATAGCCTACTGCTTAAAATATATGGCAGCGGCTATTTGCACTAAATGCAAATAGCAATAGATGCTATTTACACTGCGTAAATAGCAATTAGATGTTATTTACACTAAGTGAAAATAGCAGTATTTTTTTAAGTGCAAATAGCTATGGTTTCTATTTACACTGTTAAAATAGCAGGATTTTCAGTATGCAATACAGTATGCAATAATAATGTATTGAGTGTAAATTATAAATATTATTCAAATTATTAAATGGATGCCACCTTATTGGGACAATAAAGCCCTCCCTACACCCCAACCCTCCCCGTTACTTTATTTTCAACTTTTTGATTATTTCCTTCGTTTTTATTGAAAATAAATGCCTTTCCGATGTGATATGAGATTTGTAAAGGGGGGAAAAAAAGTTTGACAAAAGGCAGGTTTGAACACGGGTTGATCGCGTCAAAAAGACTGCGATACACGCTTTACCATCTACGCCACTGGAGCTGACATTTGACCGCTGTCTTTTAGTGGTGACTACCCCAATCACACGTAGGTGGGCGGAGTTAGTGTAAATAGCCTCTGCCAACAAGGCGGGCTATTTGCACTTAGTGTAAATAGACACTCCGTAAATATATTCAGAAAATCTTCCAGTTTTGTGGACATTCACACAAAGACCAGTCATTAGTCAGGTGGCGACACAGCATTTGACCACTGGATTTACAAAAATCATTTCAGGTTTGAGAAGTGTTTCACCATTGCATCAACTACTGATGAACACATTCATTTTTATTTGAATTATTTAACCATATATTACTATGTCCTTGGAAGGCTTTTGACTTTCAAACACATTAAAATGCATAAATTCAGATTATTTCTTATTTACAGGTAATGCAAGCGTTCCAAGACTTCTTGTCATCTGAACCTCTTTCACCTAATAATATATTCACTTTAAGTACCACTGGGATTTTAAAATAAATATTTTAATAGTTATCACAGTAATGGACTACAATTAGTAAGTAATCTACCCAGCTCTGCATGTGTGTGTATTTGCTACTTACTTGCTAGTTTTAAAACTGTAAAAAAAATCTGTAAGGCATTTGAGTTTGTTCTTTACTGTGAATATTTTCACAGATGAAGGGGTTTCTGGCATTGCTCTGTGTCTGTGTCATGTGCCCTGTAGCCGTGACTACATTCACAATGTAACAGCCTCTCATACCTAATTGCTTAAGTGCATAATAGTGTTTGAAATACAATCCAATTTGGAACACAGAGGAACTCTGTAATGGAGTGCCTGGCCATAAATTCCCTCGACTTTTTTTTTTTTTTTTTAAGTCAGTCTATTTTTATCATTTAACTCCTATCAAATGGTATCTTTGTGATGTTGAAGAACCTGTAGAATGAACCCTTATAGCCTGAAGCAACAAATGATGAATATATGAACTTTAGTAGTACAAATATCCTTTACCTGAATGTCTCTAAAGCTTAACTGCAAATCTTTCAGTGCCAGAATCTTCGCTTAACCTCACAAACTCAGTTTTTACCTGGGCTGTGGCAGCTGTCTCTGAAGTCACGCGACACTCTTACTGAGGGTCACTGAGATCAGAAATCCTACAGTGATCTTAATCTGAATGTGGTCTGCGATCAGTGCAACAAGCCAGACTTTTACCAGCTCCCTGTCTGTGTTACCAGGGTAGATAAAGGATTAACAGCTCTCGCTTTATCTGCAAGCATCTGTCTTTTGCTCATCATGGCCGTGACGTGGTGTTGGGAACGGTGAAAACAGGTGCTCGTCTGTGATCAGTGACGTCGGGAGTGGAGCGGTGGGAAGGGAAGAGGAGTGTTTTGATCAGTTGGATCAGTAGAGCAAGTTATTGACCTTTTGGGGGCTGAACTTTGAAGTTCATGGTAGTGTGCTTATATGGGCCAAAAAATGAAGGCTCTGAGAAATGCTGAACCTTTATTTAAAGGGCATGCACAATGTCATTGAACTTTACAGAAACGTAGTAACAGGGTGAGCAGCCAGAGTGTTTTTCTGTAATGTTGTAATAGGTCTTACGTCACTGTCCTTCTGACTTCAAAGAGGCCTTATCTTCTCCTAAAGGCTTCTCCACTGTACTCCACAGCTTTCAAAGAAGGGCATTTCCTGTGTGAGGAGGTTAGATTATTTTATCGCTTTGTCAGATGTGCTGTTTCTTACAGACAATATAGCATCACATTATAATCAAAAGTAACTTGTAATAGAAATCACAGTAAAGATAAGAGTGTTGATGGGTAGAGTGCATCACAGGCCAAAATTAACACATGGCAAGTGTCAGATGTGAGTAAAAATGGGTTTTGGGAAGTAAATAAAACATTTGTTACTTTCATTTGGAATTGCAATGTTAGATTTAAGATGAATTATAGTAACATTGAATAATTTAATGAAAATGAATGCTTTAAATACTTATAAATTTTTAATAATGTATATTATTTTAATTCATTTCATGTTTTGACCTGTGATACCATGGTACATGATACATTTTTTACAAGTTCAAAATCATTTGTTTGTTGTGTTTTGTTTTATTCTGTTTGTTTTGAGTTGTTTGCTTTTTTGTTATCGTTTTTTCATTTGTTTTGCTTGATATTGTTTGTTGTAATTGCATTTGTTCTGTTTTGTTCATTTTATTTTTGTTTGTTTTATTTGCTTTTGTTTGGTTTGGTTTGGTTTTGTTCGTTGTATGTTTTGCTCGTTTTCTTTCATGTTTCATTTGTTTTGTGTTGCTTCATTTGCTTTTGTTTGGTTTGGTTTTAGTTTTTTTAGTTTGCTTTTGATTATTTGTTTGATTTGTTTTTTTTGTTTTTTTTGTTTGGTTTTAGTTTGTTTCATTTGTTTTGTTTCTGTTTTGTTTCATTTCATTTTGTTTGGTGTTTGTTTCATCTGTTTTGTTTTTGAATTGAATTGAATCGAATCGAATCGAATCGAATTGCAGGCATGGCAAAAGCCACAGGTGTGGCTAGAGCAGCAAAAGCCATTCTAACCTGCATGTTAACAACCCAGATGGTCTTTTGCACAGATGAATGTGGTCTTCTGTTGGTACCCAGATGGAGGGATTTTATCAGTATTTGTCTTGAGTTTACTTTCTAACATTTGTACAGTACAAACCTACAGTCCAATGAGTTTCTATAAAGCCTCTGCAGCAAAACTAATGGAAAAAGAAATTAATGATGAAATCCGTAAGCCCACTCACAGTACTGTGAGTTGAATGTTTATCTGTGACCTACTTAAATACTCAGCTCTTGCTGAGTTCAAGAGCTCTAATTCAGATTCCTTAAGGTTCCAAGCATCTAGGTAACAGCAGGAAAGACAGATGAAAGTGTGTATGGCTGTTTCCAACTGCTGCCCAGTGACTTTATCCTTGCTGATAGGCACTGTGCCAGAGATTTGTCATGGTGGATCATGTGTTCTTGGTTTGTTTTGGATTCATCTGTTCACAGTAGGCTGATTTCACCTTTATTCAGACCAACATGTGTTCAGATTCTGACCTGCACCATGAGAACATATCTAAAAGTCATATAGTCTGACTCTGAGCGTGAGAGACATGTGCCGCACCACAGCAGTGACTCATACACACACCGCAGCGGCTGAAGACTCTCAAAAGCTGCTTACAATAATCCATCATCTCCGGATGCACTGAGAAAATACTTTATCTTCCTCTTTTCTCTGTTTTCACCTTCTCGTCTCCATCCAACCATCCATTCATCCTACTTCTCTTCCATCTTAAATGCATTCAAACACTCTTCCATCCAATCTCATCTACATCCATTCATCCAGCTGCTCTTCTCAGACTCTGATCAGAACCATGCCATCTGCACCATAACCTAGAAACACATATGTGTCACTGTGTGTCAATGAAATTGTGTGGTATAACCATAAACATTAACATGGGAAACAACATTTTTTTCCTTATTTATGGTAAAATGTTTACTAACTAAATCTCTGTTTCTCACACAGATGAGATTATGCAGCATGAGAGCAGTCCTCTGTATGCTGCAGACATCAGCCCAGACCTCAGGAAACAATTCGCCTTCCTGTCAGGTGAGTCTCCTACACAATCAATCCCAGAATGCTTTGCCAATATAGACTGTGCTCACTATGAGAGATTCTGAAAGCTTCATCAGATTGATCATCATTAAATAAGTTTACATGTACAACAAAGCATTGATAACTCAAAAAAAAAAAACATAATTAGCACGTCATTATCACCTTTACGTGAAGAACACAATTTTAGGCATTTACATGACTTTGCCATTCAAAAGTGTGGGGTCTGTAAGTTTTTTCCCTGTGTTGGAAAGAAGTCTCATATCTTTACCAAGGTTGCATTTATTTGAGCAAAAACACAGTAAAAATAGTAATATTATTACAATTCAAAATACTTGGTTTCTAATTTAATATATTTTAAAATGTAATTTATTCCTGTGATGCAAAGCTTTATTTTTTAGCATCATGATCCTTCAGAAATCAGTCTAATATACTGATTTGCTTCTGCTTATCAATGTTGAAAACAGTTGTGCTGCTTAATATTTTTGTGGAAACTGTGATACATTTTTTTTTCAGGATTCCTTAAAAAATATTTGAAATATAAATCTGTTGTTACATTATTAAATGTTTTACTGTTGCTTTTGGTCAATTTAATGCATCCTTGCAGAATAAAGGTATTAATTTAAAATCGTACTGACCCCAAATTTTTGAAAAACAGTATGCATGTTCAATGTTAAAATGTATTCACTTCCTGTAGTTCCATGTTATTAAGCGTCAATGCTGACATTCTCATTCACTACAATGTTTCTAGTGCAAATATGTCTGCTACAGGAAGTGAATACCTCACTTAATCACTGATCTAATGAGCTATATGTATAGTGTTTTGACAGCATCATGAGTATTTGTCCTGTTTCACATGTGCCGTGTGAGTCAGAAGTGAATACGTGACAGATTATGTATAAACGTTTGCTTTCACAGCGTCAACAGCAGATTCATTCAGAACGTGCACAGATTCCACATAAACACACAGTCACTTAATAACACTCCAGAAACTCTCTCCAGTCTCCGTAAATAACCCCGTTAGGGCTCGGCTCAGGTTGCCCAGGATAACACCTGACTGGAGGAAGCCTCTTAATTATTTAGTGTTGCCATGACGATGCGCTTGACGAAGTTCAGAGCTGATGTGCTTTGCGAGGATATTTGATTGACAGTTAGGCTGTGTGTGAGGTCTATAGAAGAGTTGTATAGTGAATAAGAGGATTAGATTGGGATTCAGGGTTTCTATAAAAAAACAACTCATGCCTTCATTGCATCAGAGAGTCTCTGAATATTTACAAACCTAACTCTGAACTCATGCATTATACATGCCATGAAACATTTACAACAATACTGCTAGAAGAGTGAACGGCCAAGTTGCATCATTGAAGAAACAAGGCTATTCAAATAAAAAGAAAAAAAGATCAGCATTGCACTTCTGGTTTCTGTTAACTGAAGACCTTGTGACTTCAGAAACTGCTTCCTATTCCCAATTTTGTATGTCACTATAAGGAGTGACGTCCATTTTATTCTGTTGTCTGAATTTTTAGTGGACAATTTGTTTCCCTCTATTGTGTGCACATTTTTAAAGCATTTATCGAGTATATCTGATGTACTCATTGCACCTCTTGCAATATGGAAAGCTTCAAATACTGTCCAAATAGTTTTTGATTCAAAGATTTGCTCCCTCATTTTTGTTAACTTCATCCCAGTATATTCACTATTTAGTGCCACATGAATAATTGAGCGATTGCTTATGCATTGTGTGTGTGTGTGCCCATGTAGCATATGCACTGATTTTATTTCTGTGTGTTTGTTGCTATGTTGAACATGTTGCTCTGGTCTCATGCCCCAGTTCTCCACCTAGATTTAATGACAGACCTCCACTGCTAGACGCTCCTTCTGTTTTTTTCCTGTTTTCATTTCCTTTTTGCTCTTTTTGTCTCGTTTTCTTTTCTGGTCCTACTTTTTTCCTCCCAGACGGCTGCAGAGGCCTGTGTCTGATATTATCATTATCATACAGGGTGTGTGCTTGTGTGCGTGTGTGTGTGTGTGGGTGTGTGTGTGTGTGTGGGTGTGGGGGTGTGTATCTGATGGAAACACCGGAAACTAAAGTCACCCAGTTGGTGAGATTGGGATGAAAGCCCTTTGTGGAGTGTTTTTATCTTATTTCTGTTAATGTTGTCCATGTTCTAGATTTCTTGGGTCTGTATTTGTGTTCTGATGGTACTTTTTTTCTACTACATTCTATTCTATTTCCCGTCTGTTAATTTAGTTTATACCATTCTGCTCTATTCTTCTGTATTTAACATTGTTCTGCTTCATTCTACTATTCTACTGCTGTTTTTACTATGTTCAACTCTAATATACTCCATTATCCTATATTCTACTTCATTCTACTGTTCTACCCATATACTGCTATTCTACTCTATTCAGCTCTAGTGTACTCTATTTTGCTATAATTTACTCTGTTATATTCCATTCAAGTGTTTCCCCTAGGTTTACGGCTTTTGGGGGGGGGGGGGCTCCTTTTTAATGGTTAAATTACATTTTATTAATCAAAAAGCATGTCTAATTAATTAAAATCATGAAACTTAAACAATTTAACATCAATTTATTAAAAGTTTAACAAATATTACGTTTAGGGCCCTATGAAATGTTTTATTTGTCCAACCTTATGTTTTATTGTAACCAAATTCTGTTTTAGCATGTCTAATTTGAAAGCATAAAACAAGTTTCATTTATTCTTACAATAGCCTTATGATTTTTTTGCTCAGAAATTCTGTGTTGTGTATTTACATTTTGTTTTAAGGCATAAAACATTCATTTAATCTATCTTTTAAGTAATGAAAATATGTTCTATAAGAAAGGTAACTTTAAATTACTTCTGTTGTGATCTGGCGCTATAGAGAAAATATAATTAAATAAAATTAACTTGACTTTCAAGGGGGGCGGGGGGTGCCGTTGGGGGGGCGGGCCGCCCCCCTAAAATAATGGCAGGGGAAACGCTGCATTCTACTCAACTGTATTACTCTGTTCTACATGTTTACACTCCATTGTACTCTATTCTTCTGTTCTTCTCTTATACTCCATTCTTCTCTGTTTAACTCTAATATACTCAATTCTACTAAATCCCTATTCTACCCTTTTATGCTCAATTCTACTCTAATATACTAAATTTTACTATATTCAAATTAATTTAAATCTAATTTATTTTATTTATTTTTTTGTATGGTGTGTTGGGTTTGTTGAAGATGATGAATGACTCTTCGTCTTTTGGATTGCATGTTGTAGTATAATGTTGCAGAGTGACCCTCTCTCTCTCACCTGGTCCAGATGGACTGGGGCTCTTTGGGTTTGCCCTACTGATGGTTACAAATGCAACAGCAGTGTCCTTTTCACCTTGTGTGTGTGTGTGTGTGTGTGTGTGTGTGTGCACCTGTGTGTGTGTGTGTGTGTGACAGTCATAGAGGTGTTAATATCCTGCTCTATTAATCACAGTGTCGTAGCATCCAAATACACACACGGTCACATGACCTCTGTCACTGCACCAAACATGTCCTTCTTCCTCTTTCCCTTTCTGTCTTTCTCTTTCTCACTCACACATAGACTATATCTATAGCCCCAGTAATGATTAATATGATGTTTATCTCTCAGTGTTTTCGAATGGTCTCATCTGTATTTGCAAGGCAAAGCTCAATGACAGGAAAAGAGGAGATTTGAAGGTTTTGTCCTCATGCCGTTGCATTGTGCCCTTGATTTTGCCTCATGTCCTTGATGCATCTATGCAGTTGGTAATAGCTACAATCATTCTTCTGTGAATGTACGCAGTCTCTGTCTTTCTCTGTGTAAGCTGTACATGGGAAGCTGTAGAAGTGCCCCCTTGTGGGTAGAAGACTTTTTAAATGCAGAAGTGCTGCTGGATTATTATATTTCCTGATCAGTCTGACTGTAAACTAATTCAGATTAGTTCAGGAGCTTACTGCAGCTTCAAGGTCACTGGTTATAGACAATTCTCCCTCTGAATATGCAGGGTTTCATAACTTATATGCATCACAGGGCTTAACAGAATAAAACGATGATTCGTTTTCATACTGCATCTTAAACAGAATTGCTAACAGCTGCCTTCTTCCAAATCTGCATTTCCAGGTGGCCGAGGACAGAATGGCAGCCCCATCATTATATTCCCAGAGTACCCGGCGTTTGGTGAGCTGGAGGAACAGGAGTTTCTCAACGTGCTGACGTACCTGACTAGCGTTCCCAGGTGAGAAAACGGGAGGTGGAAGGATCAGTCATTACCAGCACTTTAAAAAAAAAAAAGTAACCAGGGTCTTTGATCAGGGCATTTGAAAATGTTTTTCCCCCAGACCTGGAAAAGTCCTTATTTATTGGCTAGATGCTTTTTGTGTGTGCTTACAAAGTAGATGTGCATGCAAACCGGTGTGATAACATCAGTCTGTCCATTGATGCTGTCATTGGAAACGTGTAATTCAATCTATTAATTCCAAAAATTGCATCCTGACTAGTGCTGTCAAACGCATTCCAAAAAAAGTTTTTGTTTACATAATATATGTGTGTGTACTTTGTATATTTATTATGTAAATATAAATACACACACATGCATGTATATATTTATGAAAAATGTTGTTTATATATTAAATATATAAATTATATGAATATAAATATATACATGTAAATACACAATACAAAGTATATGCTGTATGTGTGTGTATTTATATATACATAATAAATATACACAATACACACACATATATTATGTAAACAAAAACTGTTATTTTGGATGCTATTAATCATTTTACAGCACTAATCCTGACATATAAATACACTCCAATCTCTGTAACATGATTTAAAATCCAGCATTGATGAATGACTGGAAATGTCATGAAAGTTCATTGGTCAGAAAATGTGGTAACACTTAGTAAAGCCTATCTGAAACTATTTTTGTTTAACAATAGAAAACATTATATGTATTTGATTTATGATGACATCATCTTTATTTAGTAACATCACTGCACTGTTGATGATAAACTACTGGTGGATGATAAATATTTTTGGTGGGGTTGTTTTATTTCTTGAATTGGACATTAGAGGGCACTCTAATGCTTTCCCATTGCAGCACATCATGCTGTTTGCAATTCAATGACTTTAAGTCATGAATGCCTGCTTGTGTTTGTGTTTGTGTGTGTGTGTGTGTGTGTGTGTGAGACTGCTACCTCATTAATATTCATCATACATATTAAATTAGAATGTGTAATTATGTACATGATTAACAAGGTGATCCTAATGCCCCTTGTTTTACATATGCATTCTTAGTTTGTGAGTAATTTGAATACATGATTTTCTCAGGGAAGTACATTATTATTGACCCGAAGATGCCTTCATATCAATAAATAACCTAGAGATGTTCTTTGCATGTATATCATTTAATTTTTTTAATGTTAATCCCTGTGGAAGTTCACTGGTGCATTGGTGTATTTGCTGATCCTGTGAAATCCTCTTTAATTTAACAGCCCTTGTTAATATTCTAATGAACGAGTGATTCTGGTCCTTTCCATCACACACACTCTCTCCACCTCTTGTTTCTCCATTATTCCCATGAGAAACAGAGAGAGAGGGGGTGATTGAGTAATTAGATGGATTTCTTCATGCTGAAAATGGCTGATGGGGTTTTAATTTAGTTCTGATTTGGTAAATGGAAGGAGTTCAGGAGCAAAATACAGCAGCTCATGGAATAAAGGGGCGAATGTCATGAAACCCCCTTAAGAATGTGTCGTAGTCATATTTTAACACAAAAGAAAAAGAAATGGGAGAATTACTATACTACTTTGCTTAAAACCATAAAGATATTTTGCATTGTGACATTAAGTACATTTAGCCGCAAAATTCTAATTCTTATAATGAAAACTAATTATCATACTGTAATGCAAAGTAAAACTATATAATTAAATAAAAATGTAAAAACTACCTAGAATTAAGATAGATAGATAGATAGATAGATAGATATTGAGTGAAATATGACCTCAATATGTGTTTGTAAAATTGTTATTCAAAGATTCATTTGTAAGCAAGACATGGTCCTGAATTTGTTTTGTGGTTTCTAATAAAACATTTACAATGTTAAATGTAATATTATTAAATATTTGCAATTTACAGTCAAACCCAAATATCCTGAGGTTATGTTTTTTTAACAGTGAAAATGCAAATGTGCTGTATTACATAAATCTTCATCCCATTGTTTATTCAAAGCATTCAGCTATCTAGTATATGGAAAAAAGTAAAAATATTACTTTGCAGTCTTAACACAATGCACTAACAACAGAGAACAATAATTAAAAACATTATTAGACTAAGCACCAGTATGACCATAAATCATGTGTAGTGAACCACCCGATGGCTTTGAATGGAAGGTTATAATTGCAGTGATGATTGCAATCAGATTTTTGATCTTTATTACTGATGAACATTCAAGGTCATTAGTCAATGTGTCAGTGCAGATCTGCACCAGGGCTTTGTCAGCTGATAAGACCCCTGCATCGCTCTCCTTTGCTTCCTCCTCCTGCCCTCTACTGTGAAAGGAGCGGAGAACAAACGTTCCTGAGAAAAACAGCCGGAGGCTGAGAGGGGGGACTAGGAGGTGGGATTGAGAGCAGAGAAAAGGGACGGGAGTGTGAAATTTGGTGGAAAAGGCGGGAGCCAGAAAAAGTGACACACAATCTGTGTGTCACTGTAATGGCGGCAGATTTGATACACAAGTATCTGCAGTGCCAGTTTCTAGTGGGAGGAGCTTTCATTATCAATCAGCACCTATCTCCCGCCCACATTCCATATTAGCAGTTCAAGAGCCCGGGTGTCCGTCAGCTCTCTCCTGAGCTCTGATTGGTTGAGAGGGAGCTCCTGATGCTGCACGATTGGTCGCTGTAGAGGGGGAGGCAAAATGTAGCTGCTCTCCCGGTCTGTGCCTACAGTGGCACTCATTCAAATGGAACCATAAACAGAGGGGCTGTAAGCAAAGGTGCATTGAAAGGAAGAAAGAAACGGAGGGGAAGCCATCTGTGTACACTGAAATCTGCTGAAGGACGCCTGGAATATCAGCGTTAGGGGTGGATTCTGTTTTTTAATATCAGGAGTGTGTAATTGGATTTTTCTGCTGCCTCGGTCATCATAAAACAGCTTGATACTGCTGGTGCAGAGAGCTGCCGTTCTGTATGGTGATGGACATAGCAACCAGCTCAGCATCTCTGCGCTACGTTACCACGATTGCATTCTGGGCTAGTGCATTTCAACGTACGTCTGTGGGTTTTAATTTGCATTTGGACATGTTATGCATTCATCTTGTCTTTCAGGGGGCAAATGCAGATGTGTATGTGTGGATAAAATAATGGTTTGCAATGCACCGTGTGCTGGTTACTTTGTCAGTCTGATGTTGGTTAGTTAGTAGAAAACTGCTTAATGATGACTTTAGGGTATGTGACATCTTCAGTATCTCAATGTTTATGATTTGTGTGTGTGTGTGCGCTTGCTGCCATGGTGATGGTGTCTCTCTGATTTTCAGTCTCAGCTCAACGGGGGTCGGCTTCATCCTGGTCATTGACCGGCGGCAAGACAGATGGGCATCAGTGAAGGGGACGCTGCTGCGGATCGCGGTGAGCACTCAGAGTGTGTGTGTGTGTGAGAGAGAGAGAGAGAGAAGAAAAATAGGATGTGAATGTGGTTAAATGTGTATATTGTGATAGAGAACATTATAATTTATATTTAAAGGGGCAGATTACCCAAAAATGAAAATTGTCTTTATTTACTCTCCTTGATGTAATTATGAACCTGTTTGAAATAAGTGTTTATTATGCAGATACAATGAAAGTCAATGGGGTCCAATGTAGTTTGGCTCCCAGTTGACAATTTATGGAAAGAAGTGTGCTTCAAATATCTTGTTTTGTCTTGCACAGAAGAAAGCAAGTCATATACACTCTCTTTATTGGCATCTATGCTTCCACAAAGAACATTTTCATTAATGGAATCTTTCCATTCCACAAATTGCTCTTTATATTGGAAAAGATTCTTTTGAGAACTGTTCACTAAACGATTCTTTGGGGACCCAAAAATGGTTCTTCTATGGCATTGCTGTGAAAAAAATCTTTTGGAACCTTGGTTTTGTTTTTGGAAAGACGTAAGAGTAAGTAAATGATGTCAGAATGTTCATTTTGGGGTGAACTTTCCCTTTAAGAGAACATTTTAAGATGAAATCTCTTTGTGTATCCGTATGAATGAGGAAACTTTTGCGTGTGCGTCTGTGTGTTGTTTTTTCCATGCATGTTGTAAGAAGAATAGGAGCTGACAGGCAGGTGCCTTTGGCTATATGAGTGGATTAGTCAGAATTTCCGCGTTGTTCCAAGTCGGAGGGCATCTAAAACAAGGCCCTCAGTTCTTTTCATAGAAACCCTAAATATTTAATCCACCACAGAGACGTCTAGCGAACCACAGCAAGTCCACATGAGTATAAACCCAGCACACTGAAAGCACAAATGTTGTTGAAGTTATGTTTAATGAACAATAGCAGCAACAACAGCTGTAATCTTTGTCTGTTCTTGTCTTCAGCTTGTTTTGAGTGGGGCCTGTAGTGATCATCAGTGCTTTTATGCTTGCGGTAAACTCTTCAGATTATCAACAAGTGTGGTGGCCGCAGGGGATTTGTTAAAGATGTGAGTGTGTATGATGGTCAGTAGGGGAGAGGTCACTGGGCTAATCAGATTAACACCGTTTAATTAGGTCAGCACTCAAAAACACCACTGGAGTCAAATCAGTGATCAAGATGATGGCTAACTTGTGCTTTACCAAACAAGGACAAAATGTGGTAACTAAAATGAAATTTTTTTTTAAATTGTTTTTTTTTTTTCACATTTTGTCAAACTGAGCAAAGTGAGTGCTGATTTTGGTCTTAACTGTGTAGTTGTCTTTGCATAGCAGAAACTATAAAAAGAACAGACTTTTGTAGTTTCATTATTGTTAGTATCATTGTTGGCACTATTTATTAACTTTATTGTGTTTAATACAGCAGTTGGAGACAGTTGATGCCCAAAATGTGCACAGATTTAGTGTGTGCTAGTGTGTTCTGAGGATTGTAGGCTTTGAGGACGTAGAGGTGAACATAAGATGATATTTAATGGCTCTTTCCCTGATATGTGTCATTTCATACTGCACTGAGACTGTGTAAGTTTCACTAGTATAAATGTTTTAAATTGGGGGGGAAATTTATTCTTTTTTTTCTCTTTTCTTATGCATATTAAGGCTGCATTTATTTGATCAAAAATACACTAATATTGTGAAATATTATTGCAGTTGAAGGTATTTTAATATATTTTACACTGTAATTTATTAAAAATGCTGAATTTTTCAGCATCATTACTCATTACATAACATCATTACATAAATCATTCTAATTTGCTGATTGGCAGCTGAAGAAACATTTCTTATTATTATCAATGTTGAAAACAGTTGTGCTGCTTAATATTTTTGTGAAAAAAATTATAAATGTTTTTTTTCCGGTTTCTTTGAACAGAAAGTTTAAAAGAACAGGATCTGTTTGAATTTTTTTTTTTTTTTGTGACATTGTAAATGTTGTTACTGTCACTTTTGATCAATTTAATGCATCCTTGTTGGATTAAAGTATTAATTTCTTTAAGTGTTTCTAAAGTGTTACTGACACCAAACATTTTTATTTTTATACGTTAAATAAAATGATGTTCATATGAAACTTAGTTTTGTTTGGTAAACACAGCCCACTTAACTGGTAACCTGGGTGGCTTTAGGAGACTAAATGAATTATTCACTTAATTCAGGTCACTCTTACATTAGTGTCCATTTAATAGTGTAATAATTACTGTAAGTACTAAGTAATAGTAATGACTAACATGCACATAATATTTAATTATGTCATTGAATAGTCTGTAGATGCTCACTGTAACATGGTGACTGCATGTTAAAGTGCTCTAACACATGTCAGCCAATTATTGTGACAACCAAACTCTTTCTGAATAACAGACTTTGGTGTTTTAGGGACATCATCAGATCTATTACAGAGTGCACATGATTCTGTTGTATAGACTGTTTTACTGTGCTGTTTGTGTGTTGATGATGGAGAGGTTTATTCTGCTACCCCACAAACCTACTTTAGTTTAGAAAAATTATGCCACACTCCAGGATTTTCTTGCACCTGAAGAAGAGAGGGGAATTTTTCTTTGTTTCATAACCATAATGAGATGGAGGTTTGACAGTAATGAATTAACAGGATTATCATTCTTCCTTTGCCTCATGTCCTTCTCTCTTTCTCTTCATTTTACTTTCAACCTTCCAGCCAACTGCATTTCATATTACCTTAATGTTTGCAGGTAAACCGTTAGAGTACAGCATGGCAAGAATCTCCACAAAAAAAATGATCAACATTGAAAATAATAAGAAATGTTTCTAGAGTAGCAAATCAGCATATTAGATTGAGTTTTGAGGAATCATGTGACACTGAAGACTGGAGTACTGAAAATTCAGCTTTGCATCACAGTAGTAAATTATATTTTAAATATAAAAAAATAGAAACCAGTTATTTTAAATTGTAATAATATTTCACAATATTACTGCTTTATTGTATTACTGATCAAATACATGCTGCCTTGGTAACCTTTCAAAAACATTTGAAAAAATCTTACGAACTTTTGAACTGTAATGTAACTCAGTCAATTAAAACAAATATATTCATTTCATTATTGTAAATCACGTGACCAGAAAAAATTTTGCATTTTTTAAAAGTAAACTTTTATCCTGCTGTACCTTATTGTTTTCTGTGGATACAGTAGTTTCTCTCACACTCCTCTTTTTCCTTTCTTCTCATTCACTCTCTCTCTGCTCACACACACACACACACACACACACTGGCACACACAAGCACGTAATCTACTCCTTTCTTTCTCTATCCTCCGTCACAGCACATATGGCTGATTGGTAATGGTTATCAGCAGTGCAGCTGGTGTGGAACGGCCGGAGGAGATTTTCCTACACGTGTCTGAAATCAAAACAAAAATACAAAGTCCCAGTAACTTCATACACATTAACCATTGTGTGCTGTGGTCTTTATAGGTCATATACAAAAAAATGAAGCTGCTTTACAAATTAAGAACAATAAGACATTATATCTCATGGAGGAAATGTTGATTTCTATGTGTGCTTGTGCTCCGTGTTAGATTGGTTAATGATGTCTTTAATGTATTTCATTTAGGGCATAATTACAAGTGTGTTCATCAGTTTCTTCATTTCTGTTTAACATGGAACAAAGTCCCTTGTGCACACTCTCACTATTGTTTTTGTTATTAGAAATGGTACTATTAATTGATTTGCATTTAGATTTGTGCAATTTTGTGCATTCTACAACATGCACCAGTGAACAAAGAAGTCTGACGGAACTAGTCTCCGTATGGCCCAATCTAATTCACTTTAGGAAATTTTAATGTGTGCTAATGCATGCTAATGTATGATAATTGGGCACAGATAAACATCTTCCCCAATGTAGCTAAATTGAAATATTGCACTATCCATGTAATATTTGCGATGGATGACCAGTGATCCTCCCCCCACACACATGCAAATAAATATTGTACATTTTTCTTTTTTGCATATTAGTCCATATGAGTATCTCATGATCATTATGTCATACACTTCTTAAAACTCACATTTTATGAAAAAAAAAATATATATATATTTATTATTTATTTATATTATTTGGTTTTACTAAGAGGCATATCTACAGCATAAATCGTCCAATTATTGTTTCCACAATGATTCATAAATAAATCGAGACTCTAAACAGCAGACGAGTCAACAGAACACGTTTAATATGCTCCTCCCTCTCATTTCATCTCGCACTTCAGCCTGCAGACCAAAAAGCTGTTTAAATGTCTTTTATTATGGTGCCGCTATTTTTACTGACGCTTAATATTTCCTTTCTTTGACCTGAAAGCGTTGATGGCCATCTCCCTTCTGTGCTCTCTGAGACGTCTCAAGGGAGGTTGTTAAGAGGCTCGCGTGTTGAAAGACAGGATAGTGTCTGCTCAATGACATCTGCTGTGAAAGGATAGAAAGCATCCATATCCATTTTTACCCTATGGATAGAGTCTTTGATGTGTCCTTCTCTTAGACTTTATGGGGAAAATGTATATATGGATCAGTTTTTATGGACACTCAGAAGCATCTAAAAATAAAGGTTCCAAAAGGAGGTTTTGGCAGCAACAACCCATAGAAGAAAAATTTTTGGTTCCTCAAAGAACCTTTCAGTGAATAGTTTTTAAAAGAACTGCTTTATTCCATCTGTGTTTTCCCTTGGCGCTCACTCACTCCATCAGTGTCTGGGACACACCTCATTGGGTTCCTCAAGTCCATCCACAGTTATTAATAGTGAAGCGTGCTGATGAGGAGGCGTTTCACCTGTGACTCTGAGCTGTACATAACAGTGATGTTCACACAGGGCATGAGGGTAGTCCTGAGGTGAGAAATGAAAGGTGAAAGGTCACCGAGATGAGCATCAGGGACACTGGGATTCAAATCCCTTGCTATTTATTGGAATGTTTCTATTTTGGTTGGAAATAATAAGCCTTGATGAGTTAGC